GACAATGGAGAAGAAGGGCACAAGAGAGATCTGAATGAAAGGACATAGCCAGACAGGCAAAAATCCATCCAGGGTTATGATGCCAAAAGAAGAAGAAGTTACCTTTACTATATAACAGCCTCAGAAAAGCGGTAAATATTCCCTGATACGTTTTTTTGTTCAGAGAACTAAAACAAGTAAGGGTGACACAGGAATAAAGAAAAAGCCAGAAGTAGGTTTGCAAAATTAGAGAATCATTTAAGTTAGACCCTGCTAGAGATGGCAAGATATGATGCATTCCATCGATGGAAGCACAAAGAACCAAAACAGTTAATCGTGGTTAACATATAAAGTCTAGATAATCGTAGCTCTATCATCAGAAGATAACCTAGCATATAGCACTGGCAATTTTAACAATGATATTCCTTTTCAGACATCTGTCAAAAAATTTACAAAATCCCAAAAAATGGAAAAAAAATTACAAAAATACTAACAAAAAGGTGAAAGCCACAAAAAAAATTAACAAAAAACGCTAAATCCTGGCACGAGGGGCCAACATCCTCGAACGCTAAGTCTCCGAACTGGGCGTAGCCTTGTGGGCCGAGCAAGAAATTTTAGATTCGATGATAAGTAACCAGAGATAGCAGGAAAAGAGTGTCTTACGGTAACCTGCTTTGATCGGGATAGGATATCATGTACCTACCCAAGACTTCCACACGATAAGCAATTTACTGAAAGAGAACCCCTATCACGCATCAGAGTGCTATGGGGAGAAAGGATGGTCTAGCCTGATCCTCCTCGCCCAATGAATTGTAATTATCCGAGTGTCTTTCAGGTGTACAAGTCTCACAGACTGAGTTAAATGAAATTTCTTAATTGCTTGCCTCGGAACTCTCTTTGTCTAGCAATTTTCTACAGTTGTTCTAGTTCGTCGGGTGCTTTGCATTCTTTTCTGTAGATGTTGACATTCTTATAAAATTCTCTGAATCCTTTCTCTCTATTTTTTCTTTTTTAAAGGTTTTCTTTTTTCTTTTGTGTATCCTATTTTCTTCTATTCTCTTTATCAGGCAATTATCTACAGTTGTTCTAGTTGACATGGTAAGTATTTATCTCTAAGCTTAATTTTTTTTTCGTTGCATTCTTGCATTCATCGTCAAACCAATTATATTTTTACGAGTACAAGTTTCTGTTCCTATTTCACCTTTTGCTGCTGCTTCAAAATCTAATTCAATGTATTATAAAGTAATAAAAAAGGTGTTAATTTAACCAAGATGTAGAAACTAAGAACCCTGTTCAAAAATAGTTCACAAAATAGTAAAAAACAACGTCTAAAAGATATTTTTACCAATAAGATTCTTAGTTTTAATCGCAGATTCTATTTTTTATTTATTAAATAATCATGCTGTACCTTATCCGCATATACAGCAAATTTATGTAATTATGAAACGTACAAAAAATTTGATATTTTAAAAATTATATGCAGCTGTCTTACAAGATAAAATCTTTTGATTTGTATTTTAAATTTAATTTTTGAATAAGACAAATTTAAAAGTTTAAAATTTAATATTTTGTTTTTGATTTTGATTATTTATATATTAAATTGTTTTACAGTCACATTTAACACGTTATTCGTTAAGATAGTTTAAAATATAACATATAATAATAGTCTAGGTAGTTAGTTATTCCGTCTAAAAGTGGGTAGTAATGATATTGAAATATGTTGATGCTTGTAAAAGATCTGATAAAAATAGGTATAGTTAGGTTAGGTTAGGTTAACCTAACCTAACCTAACCATTTCTCGTGAAACAAACTATACCAAGAAAAAAGCGGGGACGTTGCGCCATATGTGGAAGACAGAAAAATAAATTTACGTCACAATTTTTTGACAAATGTGATAATTTTGACTGTCAAGACCACAGTGAAACTACGATTACCTGTCACAGACTAACTTTTTATGTTTACAGTTTAATTTAATTAAATACGTTTAATAAATATTTAAAACAGTTCTAGAACTTTAATTTGCTGCTGGTAGCATATTTGCACAACGCGTCCACTCACGCGATAATTATAGGCGCGTCCGCTCGAGGGTTAATTAGTTAAAGAAGGTAACCACCCTTAGGGGAAGTGTGCCTATGTTGGACCCCTGCCTATGACGGACCCCCGGCTGTAATTTTAAATAGCGCGCGGTTACATACACATCGCCGGTTGCCGCTTGCGCACGAAGTTTGTAGTTTAGTATTTGCAAAGTTTCAGACATGTGGCTGTTATAACACAGTAAATTTGTGAAATAAAACTAAAATTTGGCGTTGCTGATTTAATAAATTTTTTTGGTAAGTAGCATTTTACTGGTAACATACGTTAAGCTAAGTGTTGCTTTTGTTTTGTATAAAATGACACTTTCTTTGTCAAATACTATACTTTGTTGTAGGTTAAAATGGTCAAAACAAAAGTAACATAATTAAATTCGCTGCCTTGTCTATTTGCCTATGATGGACCCCTGTGTCGTTACCTATGACGGACTAGGGGTCCATCATAGAAAAAAGAAAATAAAATTGGACACACCTTCAGTTTTTGTTACTTAATGATTAACATAATATGTTTTACAGGGATGGCTCTACAAAAAAGGCAACAGTGGAACGAGAGTAATATGCAACAAGCTTTAAAAAGCATACAAGAAAAAACTATGGGGTTTAAGCTGGCAGCAAAAACATTTAACGTTCCAAAAATGACTTTGAAAAGGCGCTTTATTAAGCATCAAGGAAGTATCAAAGGTGATTTGGGAGGACGAAGACCAATATTATCCACTACTATTGAACAGGAAGTTGCTGACCATATTATTACTATGGAAACTCGTTTTTTTGGCCTGACTAGTAAAGATTTGCGAAAGCTTGTATACGAAGTAGCTGAAAGAAACAATATTAGCCACAATTTTAATAAGGAAACCAGGATGGCAGGCTGGAAATGGGTCAGAGGCTTTTTAAAGCGAAATCCTCGAATATCATTACGCACTCCAGAAAATACTTCGTTGGCAAGGGCTCAAGCTTTTAATAAACCAAATATATGTGCCTATTTTACTGCATTAGCAAATATATTAGACGAGTTTCACTTTCCACCGGAAAACATTTATAATATGGACGAGTCCGGTTTGACAACTGTGCAAAAGAAATCGCAGAAAATTTATGCTAGTAAAGGTCGCAAACAAGTTGGTGCTTGTAAGTAGTGCAAAGCGCGGTCTACATGTTACGGTCGTATGTGCAATGAATGCAATTGGAACATATGTTCCTCCTGCTTTGATTTTTCCTCGACAGAGAAAGAAAGATGAACTTATGATCGATGCACCTACTGGAAGTATAGCCTTCGCTCAAGAAAAAGGATGGATGACTTCCGATATTTTCTATTTGTGGCTGCAACATTTTTTAAGGTATACAAAGGCTTCTAAAACCAACAAAGTTTTGTTGTTACTCGATGGCCAAGGTAGTCACAAAAGTTTTGAAGCTCTCCAGTTTGCAAAGGAAAACGGTATTATTATGTTTTGTTTTCCTGCTCACTGTTCTCATCACGTTCAACCCTTGGACGTAGGATTTTTTAGACCACTTCAAATTTACTACGGCCAAGAAATTCAAATATGGCTGCGACAGAATCCAGGTAAAACGGTGACCCAATTTAAAGTAGCCAGTCTCTTTAATAGAGCGTATTTAAAAAGTGCTTTACCATCAAATGCAATCAATGCATTTAAAAAGACAGGAATACAACCATTCAATCCAGATGTCTTCGAGGATTGGCAGTTTTTGCCGTCTATAACAACAGATAGAGAAAATTCTGAACAAAACCCACTGTCAGAATGTTCTGACCAGAAGTCACCACCGGAACATTGGAGCCAAAATATTTCTTCGATTGAAAGTTTATCAAAAAGCCCCACTGATCAGAAATCAACATCATCGTCAGTTCTAAACATCTCGGTAGAAGATATTTGTCCTCCTCCTTTAGCTGGAGTATCTCAAGTAATGCAGAAAAGGGGTAGAAAACGGGGTAAAACAGGATATTTAAATTCAACGTCAGAAATTGAAGATATAAAACAAAAAATTGCAGACAAAGAAGCAAAAAAAAGGAAACAAGACGCCAGAAAAGTGAAAAGGCAAGTTCGTGTTTCAACTACAAGTGGTTCTGAAGACGATTGTGAATGCTCTTTTGTAGAAGGCGACTCGGACGATGCAGCTTGCATCTACTGTAACGAACTATTTTCGCATTCACGATCCAATTAAAAATGGATTCGTTGTCAAGTGTGTAAGAATTGGTGTCACACTGAATGTGTAGATGTAAATCCTCGACATAAACAATTTGTGTGTGAATTGTGCGCGTAATTTTTTTATCTTAAAAATACCATGTGTAATATTTTTTATCGTTTGTAATGTCTTTTGATCTAATAAAATAATTTGGCATTTAATTATTTTACACAAAATGCAACGAGTCCATCATGGGCGTACCAAAGGGTCCATCATGAGCGCATATATGCCCATGATGGACCCTTAACAGGATTTTAGTAAATTATGAATAAATTTTTAACATCACTTTTTCTGCAAAATTTGAAACATTTGCCATATTGTACAAATAACGAGACGTTATGTGGTCATATTTAAAGTCTGCTAAGTAAATAATTAAAATTATTATGAAGCTATTTTCTTAAGGGGACCATCATAGGCACATTTCCCCTACCTGCTGTTTGAAGATTAGTGAAGATTTGCATTTGTACTATTATATATATCAAAACACATACCTCAAAATAATTACTACTTTAAACTTTATTAACTCAACGACATTTTGAAAATCACGTACTAACTAGACTATAAGATAATAGCAAAAATATGAACAAATCTTTAATTTAACAGTAATAGAACTTTAAATAAAGTATTCACAAATAAAAAATATCTGTAGTCATTGACTCATACATCATTTTTATAATTGGAATCGTTAGATATCTTAATTTAAGTGAACACAGACAGCTGCTTAAAATTTTGCAAGTCTTAAAGTTCCTCAGGAACCATTTTAAGTAACGCCATTTTCTTTTTCGCCACTTTAGAAATAAGTACGTCGATTGGTTTCGTGGTATCGTACAAAGATGGAGCATTGAAGATTATTATGCCGGTTCCAACGATGCAAGCCAACGTAAAAATCCACAAGAAAAGTCTGTCGAGCACCATTGCCACATATTTCCAATCTTCTGCAACCTAAAATGTATATCACAATACACATCATGTACAAACTTTATGTCTACAGTGAAGAAATTATTAAATATTAATACAAAATAAAATAATTAGGAGTAAGGGTGGTCGCTGGGGTAATGGTAGTCATGAAATATTTACAATTACGGCCTAATATTATTTCACGTGTAATACCTGTTGCGCCATCTAACAGTGTTTCATTTAAACTGTACCTAAAACAATGACGATGTTTTGCCGACAAAGAAGGAATTTTTGAAAATGTCATATTTTGTTGGAGTTAATTTATTAGTGCAAGATTTTTAAAGGTATGTAGAAGTATGTAATTAAGTTTATTTAGCTGCATAATTGGTACCCATTTGTTAAATTTTTAACGTAGTTTAAGACTATATAAAAAGTTCTTGCTCTAATTTAAGTGATTAATGATTATGAGTTGTTCAGTATAAATATGTATTTTGGGGTTATAATAGCCACGCGCCTGGAGGTAATGCTGGCCGGGTCACTATTACCCCCAAATTATATTTATATAATACAGAGTATTTCTTTATAAATTTTTGTATTTCAGATGCCTCGAGTTTACAAGAGAAAAAGTGACAAAGCACGATGGAATGCTGAGCAACTTAGTGCAACAATAAATGCAGTAAATAATGGTAGAAAAGAAAAATAGGCCACCTGGTGCAGTCTACTGCTGCTCGGATAATGGGTGGATCATCATCATCATCAATCAGACCTGAGTTGTCCATTGTTGAACATAGGCCTCCTCTAGATTTTTCCACCGTGGTTTCTGCTCTCCATATGTGAGGACTGGTAGAACGCACTGGTTAAATGCTTTTCTTTTTTAATGGATCGGTATATTTGTTTTAAATACGTCTCTCATTTTTCCGAATGCAGCCCAACCCAGACTTATTCTTCTAAGTAGCTCGCATGTTTGATTATCTCGCGTTAACCTTATTTCGTGACCCAAATATACATATTTTTCCACCAGTTCTATGGGCGACTTTTCGATTTCTATTAGCTCATTGGGGACGAGGTTGGTCATCATTTTTGTTTTTCCATAGTTTATCTTTAAACCGACTTTCTGGGTTACTTGCTGTAGTTGTTGTAGCATAACTCTGGCTTCTCCTAAGTTGTCTGTCATGAGAACAATATCATCGGTCTATCTGAGATAATTGAATATCTTTCCATCAATGCTAATACCCTTTGATTCCCACTCTAGCCGTTTAAATGCGTACTCTATAACTGTTATAAATAGTTTTGGCGACAAGGTATCTCCCTGTCGCACCCCTCTGCCAATTTTTATCTTCTCAGTCATGCAATGGAGGTTAACGGTTGTTGTCGCAATGGGTGGATAAATGAGCAAATATAAAAATTTATACGGTCGAGTAGCCACACCAGTCAAAGCCATTAAAGGTTTTGAGAATTCAGGAATATTTTCATACAATCCTGAAAATTTTACCGATGAAGACTTTGCTACAGGTGAATCATTTATACAAGAAAAAGATAAAAAGACACTAAAGACACTAAGACACTAAGACACAAAAAAAGTAGATTAGATAAGGAGAAGAATAATAAGGAAGTTAAGGGGAATAAAGTAAGTTTGAAGTACCTTTTTTTAACATAATTCCACTACCAGGATGCTCAAAAGATGACTCAGTTGTAAATAAAAGATTTAACTATAAAAGCAATAGGAAGCAATATTCCGAAATAAGGACATCAATACCAATGAAGAGCAAATGAGAAATAAAACCAGCAAAGGAAACAAACGAAAAATAGTCATCGAAGAGTCCAGTCCTCCGCGAATAGTTCCAAAAAGACATTGTATAAGAACACAGAAGATATATCATCTGAAGATGAGAATTATGACGATGACTGTGATAGTGACGTTAACGAAGATATTTGAACAATTTGTGGCGAATTCGGTAAAAATAGAGAACTCTGGATCCAATGCAGCATTTGCGGCCAATGGGCACACAAAAACTGTACCAGTTTCGAAGGCAAAATTTACATTTGCGATTTCTGCATTAAATTATTTTTTAAATGGGGGTAATAGTGGCAGTGGCACTTTTACCTATCGGCAGCGGGGAAGTATAGCCGCCATATAAAGATATCTTAAATTTCAAACCAACTTTTATCTATACTTACTTCATACAAGGAAACAATTATCATAATAACATTCTTTTTATCGCCTTTAAAATGATTTATTAATTTTAACTACCTAACTTAAATTTTGCCTTACCCTGGTATACCAAATTTATTTTACATCACAGTCACTCATTGTTTTACATTCTCCCTTCTTCTTCTTAACGTGCCCTATCAAGTCCCCTTGACCTTGGCGATTAACATGGCGAAACTGTTTCTGTCTCGAGCTATTCTAAATAGTTGCTCAGCTTTCTTTATTCCTGTCCACTCCCTGATATTCTTCAACCAAGAGACCTGCTTTCTACCAATTCCTCTGCGTCCTTCGATTTTACCCATCATAATAAGTTGAAGAATATTATATCGGTCTCCCCCTAGTACGTGTCCAAAATAGGCCATCTTTCTACATTTGATGTTATCAAGCAGCTCGCGAGCAGCATTTGCTGTTTCAAGGACTTCCACATTTGTCAGCATAGCCGTCCATGGAATTTTTAGTATACGTCTGTGCAGCCACATCTCAAAGGCCTCCAGACGATTAATCGTGGATATTTTTAATGTCCATGCTTCGACACCGTATAAGAGGACTGACCAAATGTAGCACTTAACCATGCGCTTTCGAAGTTGAAGTTGCAAGTTATCATTACAGAAGAATGACCTCATTTTTAAAAATGTCGTGCGGGCTATCTCGATTCTACATTTTATCTCTTGATCTGGATCTAGTTGTTCAGTAATATGGCAACCAAAATATTTAAAACTGGACACTCTTTGAATTATATGACCATCAACATATAATCGTGCATCTTGATGTGCTAAAAGGCTAAACACCATGTGTTTTGTTTTTGAACAGTTTATGTTTAGGCCAAACTCTCGTCCCACTTTATCAATGGCATTTAAAATGGATTGTAATCCATTCATGTCATCACTTAAAATAACTGTATTGTCTGCATATCTGATTGTATTTATCAGAATTCCATTAACTTTCACGCCCCATTCCAAATTATGCAGCGCTTCTTTAAATATTCTATCTGAATATAAATTAAATAACAGTGGGGATAGTATACAACTCTGTTTGACACCTCTTTGTATTCTACATATTTCTGTTGATTTTCCGTTTATGCAAGCTGTCGCTGTTTGACGCCAGTATAACTTTTCTATGAATCGTATGTCTTGACTATCAACTCCTTTATCTTTTAATATTGTAATTAATTTGTGATGCTGTACTCGATCAAAGGCCTTTTCATAGTCAATAAATACATCAAAGACGTATTTACTTTATCTCGACATTTCTGCAGTAATATATTTAGTGCAAAGAGGGCGTCCCGAGTTACCAGTCCATTTCTGAAGCCAAATTGTGTTTCATCCTGATCTTCTTCACATTTACCTCTGATTCTACTATGGATGATGCGTAGAAATATTTTCAAAGTGTGGCTCATAAGGCTTATCATTCTATAATCGCTACAGTTTTTCGGACGTTGTTTTTTTGGTAGTGTTATGAATTCCGACTTTAATCAATCTTAAGGGATATCACCAGTCGAATAAACATCATTGAAAAGTTTCCCACCTTGAAGTACATTCTCCCACCTTTTTAAAATATCAAAAATTGCTATTGATCCTACTACACACAAAACACAATTCTTCACTAAAAACGGCCTATTCCCAAACGTAAGCACAATGACTTTTGCTCCTACTACATCATTCCACTTGACATTGACGGGTACTAACTGATTTTTTATACCATCTTTCTATCAGTTAACTATGATCAGTTAGCCCTAGACTCCAGCACAGATCAGAGGTAATGTAAGTTGATAAAACCTCACCAGCTACAGGGGGTCATGTAAGATTCCCCCATTTTCAGTTTTTATTAATCAACAAGTTAACAGTCTATTGCATTTACCTTTATAAATACCATGAGATTGTTTTTAATACGGATGTCCTTCCAATGTTTTTATGTGGCCATACAATATTTTTAACAACTTTTTATGTAAGGAGTCAAAAACCAACGTGTTTAAATTTTAACTTACTTGTTTTTTAATATTTGTATTTTTACTCTCTCTTTTAGTAAACTGATGATGAAATGATTCAATTCCGAAAAGATATTCTTTAAACTAAAAATTTAAGCTTTTAATAAGCATTTTTTATACCTTAATACACACGACCACCACGTGCTTTGTATTTAACAGGTATACTAGCCACTCCTGGATATCTCCACTTCATGGTTTGTTCCAGTTTTACTTTTAATTTCAAAGTAAAATTATTAAATAGTTTTACCAACGAATTTATAGGAATTGTTGAATGAAATCTACTTTTTGAGCAAGATACTCATAGTATATTATGAACAATAAAATCACAATAGAAAAAGATATCAACACAACAAAGATGGTATTATATCCTCAAATACTAGGACGGAAAAAATAATAAGTTTGTAAAATATACTCTATTATCTATCATAAATAAAGAAACAATTATATATAATGAAAACTAAAAAAACACTACGTACACTTTCAAAAGAATCCTTATTCCTAACATGTTGAGCAATGAATCTGGAATCGGCAATTGTTTTTTCCATATCATGGCTATCCAGCTTGTCAAACGATGGACTTATATCGCTGGTACCATCAAAGGTATTCGTCCTGCAACTAGCAGGACTGTACAGATCTTCATCACCTCCGGTAAGAGGTAATGGAAAGGGAGGTTCTCCAAAACAAGAACCCAAGCCCCCACTGTGAGGTACTTCAAACCTAGGGGGTGGAAGACCTAAAACAATGTATCAATAAATAAATACTGTAGCAAAATTTTAAAATTAATATGTATATTTATATTTAACCCGTATCAATTTTATTGTTGGTAAAATCTTGTTTCGAGACTCGAGACACCAATCGAATATAATAAACGTCCGTACCAGAAGAGGGACAAACGAGGATTCTGGTGACTACCTGGTCGAAAGTAGAGTAAGGGCAAGAATTTCAAACATCAAAAAGAAAATAGGCTCTAAACATGAACGATACAAGGTAGAAGGACTCAAAGAAACAAACAAAAATAAAGAGTATAAAGAAAATATAAACAACAAACTAGAAAAGAGACCAACAGAAGAAAACCTAAATAAGAAGTGGGAAGAATGCAGAGACATCATAAAAAAGGCATCTGAAGAAGTATTAGGCATAGAAGGTAAAGAAAGAAGAACAAGAACGAATGACTGGTTTTACGAAGAATGTTAGATTATAACGGACAGAAAAAACAGAGCATATTTACTTATACAACAGGGGCACAGAATCCGACAAGCAAAGGAAAAATATAATCAACTTCGCAAAGAAGAAAAAAAATACCAAAGAAGAGAGAATATATGAACAAAGAACATCAAGAACTACAAGAACTAAGTAAATCAACAGAGATAAGAAAATTTAATCAGAAACTGAACAAAAGCAGAAACGACTTCAAACCGAGAACAACGATGGGTAGAGATAAGGAAGGTAATATATTGACAGAACAGCAAGAGATACTAAGTAGATGGACAGAACATTTTACGGAAAAGCTTGAAGGAGATCGGAGAAAGACAAAACCTGATATAACATTAGACCAAGCAGATAACAGAGAAACGACTAAACCAACAATAGCCGAGATTGGAGCAGCTGTAGACAAATTAAAAAACAATAAAGCACCGGGATCGGATCAAATAGCATCGGAGTTACTGAAGGAAGAAGGAAACGCACTACAAAAAACAATACGTGAATTGATAACAAAGATATGGTCGAATAAACAGCTACTAGCGGAGGGGAATAGCGGTATTATTGTACTATATATGATGATGAAATCCGATATAAACGTTTAAACATGTTAGTGACTTACCTAAATCGAAACTGTCGAACGAGGTTTTTTCGTAAGGTTTGCAATTATCAATCATCGGAACTTGGATGACGTCGGTCAACATACTATCTTGACTTTTGTCATCGTCTTCTTTCCGAGGACGTTCGATGAAAAGGAATTTCGGTAAAAATTCAATAAAGAAAACTTTTACCCATGGTGCTAGCTTGTGTGTAACCGGCGATCGAAAATTTACATTCAGGACAGCTATGGTGACAACTACTGACAGGGTACACAACAACATTGTGAAGAGCAAGTATTTTCCTAAAAGTATGTTAATATTAAATAAAATTAGTAAACCAATGTTTATCATTGAAATTATCAGTTAATATTATCAGTTATTATTTAAAATCGTTAAATTATGATTTTTGTGGGGCTTTTCTTGATATATTCTCTGGGCCAAAATTAACCAGCCACCTTAAAAATGGGTAATTTTTGATATCATATCTCCTAAGGAGTGTTTGGGGTGTGTTATAGAGGTAGTGTCTTTTATCGGAATGTCCACATCGAGAGTCATAGATGGGAGATGACTCTTGATAACTGGTCCTCATAAGACAACTAATTTTCACTTATGGTTCCACGTACCTCACCCTGAGTAACTGCATTGGTCTGCAGGCTAAACTAAGTGAGGGTAGCCAGATATGGCTACCACCTACCCACCTACTGACCAGCAGCTTCGGGCGGACGAGCTTTGAGAAATCGGTCTCAAAGGCGGATGAACCAGGAAGATGCTCACAATGCTCACAAGAGCATCCCTAGTACAATCCTCATGGCTAGCAATAACCAAATGAGTAACCTTACCGATAATGGCCGCGGAAACCAAGATAAGGCAGGGGAAGTAAATCACAAGTTAACTACAGGGCTTCCCAGATCGTAAGCCAGCGAAATCCCTGTGATGTAAATAATGGAACACTTTTAAAAAATATCACAAGAGAAAATATGAGAATTGCAACATGGAACGTACAAAGCCTACTACAATCAGGTAAAGTAGATAATACTGCGATAGAAATGGAGAGATTATATATCGAAATTCTAGGAATAAGCGATGTACAATCGCCAGGGTCTGGAAAACAACGAACTAGAAACAGAATTATACATTATAGTGGATATTCTGATATAACAAACCGATATGGTGTGGCCATATTGGTAAGTACGGAAATAGATAAATCCGTACTTGGTTTTACCCCGTTTTCGAATCGCATTATAATGCTACAAATTAACAATAATATGGGGAAATGAATGTTATTCAAGTATATGCACCAACAGCTCACAAGGAGGAACAAGAAATAGAAGACTTCTACGAGCAATTAGAAACAATAATGAAAACAACAAAAAAACGTGAAGTTCTGATACTAATGGGTGACTTCAATGCCAAAGTGTATCACTACAGTGAAGTGATATTTCTAGAAGCTTTTTTGGATATTGTGGAAGGTATTTTAGTCAACGGAAATAGCATTAATAATATTAGATATAGACAGAGATATAGATACAGTACCTAATACAACATGTATACAAAGCATGTAAAAGGTATGGACTGCAAATGAATCTCAAGAAAACGAAATCAATGATATTCTCAAAAAAAAAAACACAAAATGTACATAACCTGATCATCAATAATACAACGATCGAAAGAGTAACAACATATAAATATTTAGGAACGTTGCTAACATAAGAAAATCATATCTAGAATAGAAATGGCATGAAACACGTTCATAAAATTGAAGAACTTAGAATGTGAAGTCATAGACAGTTAATTCAAATTCGACGTGCAGTAAAAGTAAACAAAACCAGGCTATGCTACGTAAGACTCCATAGGCGTGCGGTTTTGCTATCATATTTCCTATCAAATTAACCCAGATATGCCTAAAACTTACATGAAAATATTTTTTAATATTTTTCTTCAAATTTACGTGTTATATCAATTAACAAAAACATATTTATCGTAAAAACAAAATATAAATGTGTTTTCTATAAGTAAACACAAAAAGAATATTTTTTTGTATACATTATAACAAATATTTACTTACTTAGCAAATCGTATTCCGAATTCAGCCATGTTATCAAAACTGAAAACTTTATCACAATATTATCGCCAAATATTTCAAAGACAGCAATTCAAAACTACACTCTATGGTTGATTACTACATACTTACTGAAAGTATTTAGGTGGTTATCAAGAAATATGATACTTTTAGATAATCAAGTTAAAAGATATTTGTGGTGTACAATTTATGTTGTTGGCATATCTGGGTTAATAAAACAGTATGTACAATTAAAGATTTGTTTTCTATGAACGAAGATAAAATATACAATGTTAGTATTATTTTCAAGGAAATTCAAAATTAGCTTCCCTACTGTAAAATAAAAAGAAACTTATGGTTTGACAAAAATAATAAAGCAGTAATTGCAACGTTGTTTTGACACTTAAATGATCGAATTCGAAACATCAAATACAATCAAATACACAAATATTTTAGGTTGCTGCATTGAATTTCCTTGAAAACCATACTAACATTGCATATTTTATATTTGTTATTCATAGTAAACAAAACTGTAATTCTACATATTGTTTTAATAATTTAATACGAAAGCAAAACCGTATGCCAAATTTTGATTGATTGACTAAGAAGGCTTCTGGCTGAGTACAAAATAAACAGCTGATCAAATTCTATCACGCAATATAGAAAATGAAAGGGGAGCGATAACGATTACTTAAGGATAGAAAAAACAAACAGGGCACCCAAAAGGGCACTACGAAGCATCTTCGTTATTAATGGATGCATAGTTTCATACGAGATATCATAGTGCACTATGGATGAAAACGCGTCTGACTGAGTACAAGATAAACAACTGATCGAATCCTCACATGCGACATAGTAAATGAAAGGGAAGGATATAACGAATATATTAAGATAGAAAATCAATTACATATCTTAATAGATTAAGATCCGATCCTAATCTATTAAGAATATGTTAGGATGTTAGGATTCGATCAGTTGTCTATTTTGTAGTCAACCAGAGGCCTTCTTAAAGTCAATAAATCACTATTTGTCTTATAGTAAATTTATTTTCATCCATAGTGCCCTATGATATTTCGTATGTAACTATACATCCAATAATAACGAACATGCTGTGTAGTGCCCTTTTGGTAGTCGTCTTGTTTGTTTTGTCTATCGTAATATAATCTTTATCCCCTTACCTTTCATTTTCTATGATGAATGTTAGCATTTAATCAGTTGTTTATTTTGAACTCAACCAGAGGCCTTGCTTGAGTCAATAATCACTATACTTGCTTGAGTCTACTTCATATTTTCATATCTATTTCATAATACAGGAAAACATAGATTTATACATAGTTAAAATCATGATTTGAGAGTGTCCCTCGTAACATTCATACTGTTGACGGTTTATTTATACTTACTGCAGCTCTATCTTGTATTTAGTGTAGAAATGTTTAGAAAGGTTTTCGAAGCCCCGCCCATTGTGACTTCAGAGGTGAGGTAGTCCATTAATAAACACAACTGACCGTTTCCAATAAACAGACTCGAGTTTCAAAAACTCGGTACTCGAAAAACAAAACGAACTGTTTCAAAACACGCCAGTCTTTAAAAAGTTTATGAAAAGTTGCTATTTTGTTTTATTGGACACGAGTTTGTGTTTTGTTTTTATTTTGTCCGTTTGGTGGGAAACCGCCATTAGATATTACAGTTAATTTTAAAACAATTTTTACATATTTAACTTAATTTTATTAATTCAATGCATTACAACAACAAATTCACATTATTATGTTGTTGGAAAACCTCATTGTAACATTTTTATTAATTTGATTTTATCTTTGTTATTCTTCTGATCATAAAATATAAATGATAACATTTATTATAACTATAAATGAAAAAATTCAAGCGCTATAATTCCCTGACGCACGCCCTGGCTAAAATATTATCACTAGAACAACAGTGGTCCAACTAAGTTATAGCAATTCTTCCGCGTACAAGGACTACTAAATGATATGGTATGCTGTTAATACTTGAGTTTCGTATACGATGTCTATTTATATAGTTTATGAGGTAGATATTATGTACGTTTATACATTGTAAATCATGATTTGGGATTGCTCCTCGTAATATTCATAATGTTGATAATGTGTCTTGGTTTGTTTACTGCTACTGCATCTTTAAGTTAAATTTGGTTTAGAATAGAAATGGCATGAAACACGTTCATAAAATTGAAGAACTTAGAATGTGAAGTCATAAAAACTGTTAAAATTAGAAAAATTTAATATCTGATCTGATGATGATTTCCAACCTCCGATAGGAGAAGGAACCTGAAGAAGAAGATATCTCCTATCTGTTGTCCGATTTAAATGATTTTTTTAATATGTTGTAGCCTTATTCCTGACATCAGGAAACAAGGAGGTCCAACATGGCAGAGAACAGCTCAAGATAGGGAAAGATGGAGAGAACTGGGGGAGACCTATATCCAACAATGGAAGGATAGAGAATAGGTTAAAAAAAAGCCTTATTCCTTGACAATATCGTTTAAATCATATGGTTGCTAAAAAGGTAAATTTTCATTGTATACCGGGTGAACGAATTAATCTATGTTTTTTTTTTCTTAAAGTTTACATCACACTATGGAATATTCTAGCATTTATAAAATATTGAAATTAAAACCTAACTATAGCCTCATATTTTCTTAATCTTTTATTTTTTGATTCATTCGCTTATATTGGATAATACAAAAGTTAGGTAGTTTCACAACTAGCTATGTTTTTTTATCAATACAGATTTAACTCACCAGCAAAATTAATCCCAACACCTTTATTATTGGTTTGTTTGAAGCATGTTCATAATTTCTTTAAATTATTCACTTTAGTAAATTATTTTCACGCTGCCTATGCCTGCATATCTTTCAAATAACCGACACTACTAATTCGTTACGCTTTTTTTTTAACAAAGAAATAACTGCGACAAATGTTCCTTTCTGCTTTTTATCTTGTTTTGGTACATAAAAATCTTTCCTAATAACAAAGAAAAAAGGTCTCTATTGTGAAATCTCCGAGCTACCTTCTCAGAAAAACAGAAGAGTTGTTTTTCGTAGAAAGTTACTTTAGATTGGTAAAAGCAATGAAAATGAACCCCAGTAGCCCAATAATTTAATGTCAATTTCGCGTGGCATCCTTCAGCCAATATCCCCTCTCTATTTTCAAGCTTCGCTTGTCTAAGCCCTTCTAAGTTCACAATCCGATGTTCATTTCCAAGTTGGTTCCTGTGGCAAGCGGTCTTATCTTCAACAATCGGCGGTAAGTGGATTTTCAATTCACCCTTATTTATCTTTACACAGTGTGTCTTATATTAATTATTTTCTCTTTTGTCAAACAGACGTCTTCCAATTGAAGTCACTTCTGTTTGCCGTTTCATATTCTACTCTACACCGTTCAGATTTTACCGTTCATATTCTACTCTACACCGTTCAGATTTTACCGTTCATATTCTACTCTACACCGTTCAGATTCTACATTGTTCAGATTCTACACCGTTCTTCTACTACTCTTCTCTCACCGTATTGTACTACCTTGGTCTAACTGCCTCTTTTCGTCGGCCTAAGACAATCCAAGGGATTACGTTAAGAAGACCGCAATTCTTTGTGGGTGTCATCCCAACTACCTGTTGTACGGACCGAAGTCACGGACCTTATTGAGGGCGTAATACCATTATTTGAATACACCTGTTTTGTGAGTACCTATAATTTTTATTGACTAAACTGTGATAACGAAATCTTTAGAAGTTGATTTATGACTCCAGTTCAGTGTACCTTCTTATTTATGGAGGTTTAGTTTGACTGAGTATAAAAATACAGGATAATATATACGTATAAATAACGTACAATTGATTTTATATGTAGATTATATTTCTGATAAATTTTATTCTTAGATTTGAAGTGATCACGATCAAAAACCTAGTAACTTCATATTCAGGTATCCTCAAGGCGTAAAATTCACTTGCTTGCCAAATATTAATGTAGATATAATCATAATGTTCCTTGTCTTTTTCTAATTCTTGAGGATACTAAATTATTTAATAATTGTTTGATCGTATATTTTGAGTATATGTGTCGAAATATTAGGAGTGTACCGCATAATTCCGATACCTTTTCTCTCACGGTTTACTTTATTCTCGCGTGAGTTCTCTAGCTGTACCTTACCTTTCTCGTTATCCTTTTCTATGTGCCTTAAGGTTTCCCTGTTCCTCTAAAAATAGGGTGGTGCCCAAATAACTTTTCTTCTCTTATCTCTTATCTTCTCTTCTAACTTCTTGTCTTTGTGTTGTAAGTACTTCTTTAATTGATCCGTGATATTTGAGCTGTAACAAGAACCCCGACCAAGATACCTCTACCAGACTGAAGCCCGAGCCTAGTACCGTTCTTTGTGTAACCCCCAATCAATCATCATCAGAGAGGGTACATGTTTACATTATCTGCGACAGTTTGTTTCCTAAATTTGTGTCATCGATGGATCTTTTAGTACTACTTTATTTTCGCATAATTCGCAATTTCCTAAATAGATATATTTACCTATTATTTTTTTAATTTTAAAAAAATTTACAAAGTTTGACTTACCTAGCAGAGGCACTGTTATGGAAGTCGGAGGAATAATCTCCACCAGTAGCAGAAAGAACACAGTGAGGGACAACAAAATAGAAATGGATAAGGATACTTTCTCTCCTGAATCTGATGGTAAGTAAAATACCAGAATAGAGAGAAAGGAAATCCCCACACAGGGTATAATTAAATTTACAGTGTAAAAGAGGGTTTTTCTTCTTAAGGTGATATAGAAAATTATGTCGGGATAGGGTTCTTCACAACAACTGTAGTACTTTTCGTTTCGTACTGCTGGTACCTGCAACAATATTGTCTGTTAGAAACAATTGGAGACCTACTTTTATTAATTTAAAATATTTATATCTAAATTTTTTATTTTTATTTCCAGCAGATATCTTTTTGAGGATAAATTACAAAATTTATAAAATCATTTTTTTGTTAAGATTTCGACTTCCAAATTTTAAGCCGCTTTCAAAGTATAGTGTTATTGTATTCAAAATTAATATTGTCATTGTTTTTAAAGTAGAACATGTAAGATCTTCATCAGTGGCACCACGTGACTTTTTCAAAAGTGTTACCAAAATCAGCTGTAAAAAATCTTATTTAAAAAAATTATTTTGAACCTCTAAAATATAAGTTTTTGTTTATTTTAGGTATTTTATTATAACGTAATAACCCATTTCCGATGCGAGGTAACGTGTCACAATTCTTAGAAGGATAAATCTAAAATATTCAAGTATTGGCACTTCAATAGCGCCCGTCTTCGATCCTCTTTCAACGAGAAGAATAGAGGTGGACTATTCCAGAATATTCTAGTACATAATAACTTGTATATATAAGTAGCTCCGATATTAGAAAAGTTTGGTTGTTAAGGTACTACCATACTGTAAACTTATAAATAAATATATTTACATAAATTAGAACCGCTCGTTTTATTTAAATACGGTACAGTGGTGTCAGGATGTGAGATTTAAAAATAAATTCAGCAGTGACTTTGAAAATGACTTTTGGACTTTTGAAAAGTATTGTTCATCGGGAACATTCGCGTAGCTCGGTAGTGATCTTTGTAAAAAAAGAGAACATTTAAAAAGTACGTGTGTGCCTGACCAAAGATGCTGCTACTACAACTTTCAGTAAAACAGTTGCGTAAGTAACTAGAAGAACGCGATGAAGACTGCAGCGGGCCCAAGAAGATCCTTTAAGAACGACTGAAGAATATTCTCAACAAGAATGGAGATGACCCAGAGACATTCCATTTTCAATCAGCAGAAGAAGCAGTTTTTTAACGAAGATCGAAGAAAGTTCTAGACAGAATGATGATAGATTCGAGAACGTTTTCAAAAGATTCGATGAAACGTCTCAAATTATTAAAGAAGCAGCTAGAAAAAATGACGAGAAATTCAAAAATGAACTTTGATCAAATAAGTAAGAAAGTACTTGAGGAAGATTAAATTAATAAAACTGTGCCCGATATCTGCCTTTTATTAGATCAAAGTTCATTTATTCGAGTATTCAACCTTATATCAAATTCAAAAATGTTTCAAATTCAAATAATTAAAGAAGTATGTAGTTAGAACAATGACAAATTCGAAGAAATTTCTAGAACATCCGATAAGGTAGAAGATAATATCAAACAATTAGAGACCATGATAACTAAGACGAAAGTGCTACCACCAGTTAATGCAGTAGTTTTAGATCCGGTAGTAAAAGAAGAATCACCTAGAGACGAACCGACACATCATATGAAATTCAAATTGGCACCATTTGATGGAAAGTATCCTTGGTCCATATACCTTTGACAATTTGAAGCTATTGCGACAGCCAATCATTGGACAAAACAAGAAAAAGCTGTTTTCTTGACTGCTGCTTCACGAGGTGATGTTACGGATATCCTAAATTCGATTCCTCAGGGACAAGAAAAATGTTACCAGACCTTGTTCACTCGACTAAACAAACGTTATGGAGATGCTACTAAGAAGTAGAAATTAAGCGAAACCGCCTGCAATGGGCAGGACATGTAGCCCGGGCCCCTGAATCGAACATGATAAAAAAGATTCTAACAGCGCAACCTGTGGGAATGAGACGACGGGGTAGACCAAAGCTGAGGTGGATGGATGGGGTAACACAAGATGCGGAGAAGATCGGAGTCGGCAACTGGAAAATTCAAGCAAGGGACAGAACAGAATGGCGTAGAAAGCTTGAGAAGGTCGAGGCCCTCTAAGGGCTGTAGCATCAAGATGATGATGATGATGATGATGATGATGATGACTAAGAAGTAGAATTCAAAGAGCAAGTGAAAATTTGCAAGAGTTTGAGCAGATGTTGCTCGTATATTAGCTTACCCAGAGGCACCAGATAAAATTTTGGAAGAAATTGCTGTAGATATCTTCGTCAATGGGTTAAAAGGCAATGAATTACAGAAAGCTTTACGACTAGCAAAACCGAAAGTTTTAGATAAAGCGCTCAATATTGCCTTGGAACACAAGACAGCTAGTCGAGCTTCACGGAGCTATCAAGTACGAACCTCTGAAGAAAGCGACGAACAAAAAGATAAACGTCTGGAGAAAATCGTATATTGCAAGAAAATAATACAACAGTCAGAAAGCTAGAACAGATCGAACACCGGGCTGGGAAATGCTGATGCTCAGTCAACACGGCTATGCAGTACAAATTGTAATCACTGTCTGAACTTAGGAGAACGACTTTGCCCCGTGAGAATAACCACCGTCAATAATCATCAATGGCAGTCTCAACAGCTACAAGATGCTCAAGCAGATGATCCATGTATAAAAAGAGTATTGGATTGGATGCGTCGAAGTGAGAGACTTTCTTGACAAAACATTAGTGCATGTAGTCTAGAATTTAAGTGTTACTGCAGCCAATGGAATTGCCTAGTGCTAAAAGATAATCTTCTATATAGAACCTTTGAGAACGATGATGGTACAGAATCTAAGCTTCAGTTAATTGTACCTAAAAGTAAAGTGTCAGAAGTATTGCATCAGTTACATGACGGTGCATCAGGTGGATACTTTGGTATTAAGAAGACTCTGCAAAAGGTTTGAGAAGGATTCTATTAGGTTAACTGCAAAGATGATGTAAGAAGATGGTGCCGGAAATGTGAGGTCACCCATGAGACAGTACAATGTGGTAGTCCTATGGAAAAAGTAGCAATCGACATTGCAGGTCCACTTCCAGAAACGAATGATGAAAATAAATATATCCTGGTAGCCATGGATTATTTTACGAAATGGACTGAGGCCTATGCGATACCAAATCAATAAGCTGCTACTATTGCAGAGGTACTGGTTAAAAAATTCTTTAACCGATTTGGTGTTCCCTTGGAGATCCACTCCGACTAAGGGCGAAACTTCGAATCAACCCTTTTCCAAAACGTTTGTAAATTGATTGGTGTCAATAAGACCAGAACGACACCCCTGCATCCTCAATCAGATGGAATGGTCGAGAGGATGAACCGAACGATGAGTAAAGACCTGTCCAAAGTTGTATCAGAACATCAAAGAGATTGGGACCAGCACGGGAACATTCATGAACTTGTTCGACAACACATCCAGTTAGCCAGTGACAGGATGAAAGATCAATATGATTCTCGATGCCAGCATCGTCTTGCACCTTATACTGGCTTAAATGAAACAGAAGAGGAACCCTTCAACATAAGATTAAAGATGACCGGCGACCAAGCTATAATGAATTTATGTCAAATTATGCAGAGAGAACGAGTGCTATATTCGGCGGGACCACAGAAGATCAGCAGGATCTTTTTAGTGTTCCGCATAACGTCTCTCTAGCCCACTTTGTTGCCCAAGATCTTGAGATGACTAAAGGAATCTCATCTGTATTTTATAAGAAGTTCGGTTATTTGGACGAGTTAAAAAATCAGCAGCCTAAAGCTGAAAGACTACTGAGATTAGAAGATGGTTCTCGATCTTATTGAATATTTCGAATTAGGGATGGTGGTTTTTGATAAAACACCGGTTTTCGGTTATACCGGTTTTTTTGCTTACGGTTTAACCTGGCAGTTATAACCGGCCAAAAAAACGGTTTTTCCAAAAACCGGTTTTCGGTTTTTTTAATCCAATAGATTAGAAAGTGTGAAAAATAGATGAGGTATAAATACCAGATCATTTCTTATGTAAAAATATTATGATTACAAATACTTTTTCAACGAAATACTATAATAAAATTTAATTGTTTCTGGCTGATGTGAGCTTACACTTTCAGTTTGCTTTTGTATTTAAAAAATAAAATAAAAATTGCATTTTAGTTTTGTTTGGAATAATTACTTGAGAATAATAATTATGATTGGGTGGGATCCAAAATAATACCTAACCTAATTCTAATCACTGTAAAAACCTAATAACCGGTTTTTACTTTAAAAATAAAAAAAACCGGTTATAACCGGGACAAGAAAAACAACCGATAAAACCGGTTATTTCGAAGTAAAAAAACCTGTTTTCGGTTAAAACCGGTAGGTTTTTCCCATCCTTATTTCAAATATCTCGAATAATTTGATATTTTGACGGAAGGCTCATAACATAAAAGAAGTTTGTTTCTTATGTTAATTAATTTTGCATGATGTTCATATACTTAAGAAGAAGTTTTGAACACCTTAAAAGAGCTCATACGCAGGAAAATTTGACACAGGAAAAGGTTTAACTTTGATTGACCTTGTTTATGAGTTTTATTACAGTTCTGATAAATAAATCCTTTATATATAGAACAAATATATTGAAATATTGAAATAATTATCAATCATGACATAAATACAAATTTAACTGATTGTTTATTTATTTAACTGAATTTAGATTATTTGCACAAACTTAAATTACCACATCTTATCTGTTGGCTGTATAAATACATGTAACGTCTATGAACCGTATAATAAATTTTACAAAATTACCTTCATGATGTCCCATTCTACTGATATGTAATAATCCTGTAGGTCAATTCCGACGTCAATCTTATTAGAGTCCTGGACTTGCTGAAGATGCCTCAGGTCAACCTGCAAAATAAAGGATTTATTTACTACCTACAGATCGATTTCTCGTGTGAATTTAGACAGTTACGTAGAGGTTATGGCGCTCTGGAGATTTGTCCAGTGCATTCAGTTCACCAGGTTTTATTTTCAGAAAATGGAAAAGACAAGATTTATTGAAAATCCCCAGGGGTGGATTTGTATACTATTAAAAAGTGTATTATCCAACCTTGTTTCCAAATACAATTTTTGAGGATGTAACGGTAAATAAAATAATTTAGAATCATTTTATAACTTGACGAAGAGAATTATTTTATGAGAGCTTCTTCAAGATATGTTCTGGTTTATTAGAAGATAATTTAAAGGAGATTTATTTTGATACAGATGGTAATGTGATTTATCAACTTCATGGGTCAAGTCTTTCAAATCAGAATGTTTGCGAAGTAAAGTAGGTGCTGATGAAGAAAGATATTACATAATAAACGGGCTGATGAAACAATTTGTAAAGGCCCTAGATCAGAATCGTCCTTGTTTTGAATACTTGTGCAGCAAATTCTCTGCAATTAGTAAAGAAAAATTGAAAACCGGAATGTTTGATGGACCGCAGACAACCAGACAGCCAATCGATGACTGAAATTGAATGTAATGCATGGTGCTCTTTTGTGAAAGTTGTAGAAAATTTTCTTCAAAACAATAAACCAAAAAATGTTCTTGATATAGTGGCAGAAATGCTCAACAATTTTAAGAAACACGGTTGTCATATGGGTATTAAAATTCATTACCTTCACAGCCGCTTAGGCCGTTTCCCAGAAAATCTTGGTGACCTTAGTGAGGAACAAGGCATTCACCAAGATATCAAAACGATGGAAGAGAGGTGTCAGGGGAGATGGGACACTCATATGATAGCGGATTACTGCTGGAGTCTTCAAAGGGGCCGTCCTTTTATAGTCTTTGCACGAAAATTCTATAAAAGGAAGTTTTTAGAAAACGCCGAATAACAGATTTTTGCTGGTTAGTTTAGATGAAAAGTTAAATGTTTTTTTGGCAGATATGTATGATGATTTTTGTAAGTATATTGTTGTTCAATAAATATCTTACTTTTTAATCATATTTTATTTATTTGATAAGTAGCAGCACTACATATATGGAGGAAGTGCTGCGTTAAATTAACGCAGCACTTCCTCCATTAATAACTTTAATGAGTTATTAATGTTAGAAATATGATCTGTTGTCGTATTTTCTGAAAACGATCTGATGGAGCAAATCTGGTGGCATTTTTGGATTCAGCAGACCCAAATTACTTAAGGAAACGGTAAAAAAATTCCGGCAACACACTGTGTGTTTGTCATTGTTATGATTCTACGTTTGTTCTTTTATAAAATATTAAAGAAATGGTTTGAATCAAAAATAATAACCTTAGGACTAAGTAATAGTTTTGAGGTATGGAAAATTATTTTTTAGACAGTTTTTGTAAAAGAGGTTTGCATAAACCTAGGAAAGCTATATTCTGTTAGGTATTTAGGTGATAGTTTTATGAATTATACATTTCACAAAGAAAATTTATTATTAAATGGGAAAAATGACTTTTTTATTAATATACTTAATTGTGACAGACATATCAATGTATACTACATATACAAGACAATATTAATAGAACTGACATTTTACAGCAATGGAAAAAGGCGAATAAGTGAATTACAAAAACTGGAATGTTTATTTATAAAAAAAAAATAAATCACAGACAAAACTGTTTCTTGACCAAATATCTACCAAATCAAACACATTAACATTAGAAGAAAAGAAACCTTATTAATTTGGTGATAGATATGGAATCATTGACGATTTAATCAAGAAGTAATATACCCTTAAAAAAAAGATAGAAAAACAACACAAGACAAATCAAGTAATATTCAATAGATATGTTAATAATATTGCTATACTTCTTCTTCTTAGAGTGCCATATCCCTACGGAACGTCGGTGACTACCATGCTTATAATATTGTTATACTGATCTCGGTCTTGCGCTACGTGTCGCAATTGGTCCACTGTCAAACCTGTCCACTGCCGCAAATTCCTCAACCAAGAGAGTTTCTTCTGTCCTATCCATTTCTTTCCTTCGATTTTACCATTGAGAATTAGCCGAAGGAACTCATATTTTGGTCCTCTGATTATATGTCCAAGATATTCTAGTTTACTCCTCTTAATAATATTTAATAGAGTTCGTTCATGTCCCATTCTTCGAAGAACTTCTTTGTTTCTGGTTCTGCTAGTCCATGGAATTTTTAGTATCCTTCGATACAACCACATCTCAAACGCCTCGATTTTATTCATGATATCGGCGTTTAAAGTCCAAGTTTCACATCCATACAAAAGTACAGACCACACGTAACATCTTTTTCACGGATTTCAAAATTTAATGAGTTATTGGATAATAGAGGCTTGAATTTTTGAAATGAGTTTCTTGCCTGTTCAATTCTACATCGAATTTCGAAGGATGGATCTAGATTTTGGGTAATCCAACATCCAAGGTATTTGAATTTCTGAACTCTCTGCAGCGGTTGTTGGTTTAATATCAGTTGGGTTGCGCCGATATCCACTTTACTGGTCACCATGTATTTAGTTTTATCGATATTTATCGACAGTCCCCAATTTGTGCATTCCATGTCAACTCTACTGATTAGCTCCTGCAGATCGTCGATGTTTTCAGCTAGAATCACGGTATCGTCGGCGTACCGTATATTGTTAATTATTTCTCGTCCTATGATAATTCGTTTTTGATCTTTTAAAGCTTCCCTAAATAGATTCTCAGAATACAGGTTAAAGAGGGTGGGAGATAGTATACAGCCTTGTCTTACGCATCGTTCAATACTGATTGGCTTTGATTCTCTGTTGTTGGTATTAATAATGGCTGTTTGGTTCCAGTAAAGTTTGGCAATAAGTTTGATGTCTTTCTCATCTAGATGGATGCTCTGCAAGGCGGTAATTAGTCTGGTATGCTGAACGCGATTGAATGCCTTTTCCAAATCAATGAAGCACATATATACGGGTTTTATTACCTCCCAACATCGTTGAAGGAGTGTTTGCATAGAAAATAGTACTTCTCTAGTTCCAAGGCATCTCTGGAAGCCGAGCTGCTCTTGACTAATTATTTCTTCGCACTTGTTGTTAATTCGGTTTAGAAGAATATGCAACAGTATTTTAATGGCATGGCTCATTAAACTAATGAGTATATAATCGCTACATTTCTTAACGTTTGGTTTCTTAGGTAGAGGAATAAAGATCGATTTTAACCAGTCCGATGGAATTTCACTGGTACCATATATTGGATTGAAAAGTACAGTGAGTTCTTTTATATTGTCATTTGAGAGTAATTTTAGCCATTCGCTGTATATTTGATCTGGTCCACTGGCTATACAGGATACATTAAATGAAACAGTAACTGGCCAAAAAAAAAAACTAGATATGCTGCCATTGATCAAATTAATAGTAGGTATTCCTAAATAGTAGAGAATTTTGTGAAGTTTATGATACAGGCTCAAATGTCAAAAATAAAAATTAAATTAAAAAATATAATTAAATAAAAATTAAAAATAAAAATAAGACAAGTATTAATCTTTTTAGAGGTAATGATAAATATAAAGTTTGATATTCTAAGATTGTGTTTTGAATTTTCAAATGAAACGATTGATTGAATTTTCAAAAGATTTTGGTTTTATCTAAATATTTTATTGATTTAAAGTTTATAGCGTTTATCTAATTCTTAGACCACGTTCTTATTGCAGACAGCTTTGATCGGGCACAGATAATGCTCCAAGAACTCCATGCTGCCACAAAAAGATAAATTAAAATTAAAATAAATTTTTCAAAAACACAATTTATGACAAATTTAGTCCACAACAAAAACATCCTAGTAGAAGACAAAGATATTGAGCCAGTTGACTCCTATAAATACTTGGGCCATGAGATCAGAATAAGTCGAGACAACCAAACAATCGAGCTGAAAAGAAGAATAAACCTCGCTTGGGCTGCATTTGGATAGATGAAGGATATTTTTCGAATTCAAATGGAAAATTCCAATGTGTCTGAAAAGAAAAGTATTTAATCAGTCTATTTTGCCAGTGATGACCTACGGCGCAGAAACACTACAAGAACAATAGTAGTAGAGAGTAGCAGAGTAAAACTTACGGAAAGCGCAATGGAGAGAATAATGTTAGGGATGTTATCTCTACGTTAATGTTATCTCTACGTGATAGAATACCCAATGCTACTATACGCAAAAGATCAGGAGTAGCAGACGTTATTGAAAGGATAACAACGCCAAAGTGGAACTGGGCAGGTCATGTAGTAAGATCAGTTGATGACTTATGGACAAAAAGAATTTTGGAATGGACACCCCGAATACAAGAAATAGAGGTCGACCCCCAACAAAATGGACAGATGACATAAAAAGAGTACTCTTTTTATGTCATCTGTCCATTTTGTTAACATTTGTAGTCATGACTACAAATTGGATTCAGAGGGCGCAAAATCGGACTAAGTGGAAAAGCATGCGAGAGGCCTATGTTCAGCAGTGGACATTAGAGGCTAGTTGATGATGATGAAGATTGGATGGAAATATTGAGGAAAATAATTACTATTTTAATGGCAATAAGCCACAATTGTTGAAAATAAGTTTATTGACATTCCAATTTCCACTTCGGAAATCGTTTTCACAAAATTTTTTCTTTTCATTTTTGTTTCTACCCTCTACCCTCTAGTCTAAATGGTGTCAAATGTGAGTTGTATATATCTGGATATTTTGTGAAATCATTTATTTAAATCCCGACCCAGACAACTTCTGAAAATGCAAAGCCATATACAATACTTCATTTTTAAGTTATTTTTCATGGCTCAGCTTTTGAAAGTTCGTACATTGAATATACAATTGAATTGAGTTAAAAATTCATACCATGTATCCGTCATAAGTCCACGAGCCGAATTTCATAAAACAGGTTTGTTCATCGAAGGGAAAGTACTCGACGTCAATTTCGCAGAATGATTTATAGATGGCAGGAGGCTTCCATACAACTGTTCCCGTGTGGTGAAGAATCGCTTTGGTCATTATCGTTACTTCGTAGTTTCCGTCGGCACTGAAAAGAAAAAAAAAGCACCGATAAAGAATGAATAAAGGCTAATAGGTAGATTCATTTTATTTTCTCTTTTCTGTTTTATGAATAATGACTAAGTATTAGTGAATTCGTTGAACAATGCATATTGCTACATAAAAGTGCGAAAATTGGATTTCCTGTTAAAAATCTTTGTTTTGTTAATTTGAATTTTTATTATTGCAGTACTAATATTTCCAAAATAAATTTGACCCATTTATTTCTAGATATTATTTCTTCCCGAAAAGTTATATTTGAAGCGTGCATTTCCATAACGTTGTAAGTGCCAATATGCCTCATTTGGTTTTTTAAGTTAAATGAGTTGCAAGTGCCATGTGCCATCGCCTAAAATTTATTTCATGTCGATATGGCTAGCGACGGCGTGAAAAGTGGGGATAAAGTAGCGGTGCAAGTCATAACGTTGTAAGTATCGTAGTGCAATTCTGTTAAATGTAGAGTGGCACATCAGTCACTAAATTATTTTTGTTTGGACGTGTTGGGTTCGGTTTAAACATAAGTATTTGGAACGAATATGGATGAAACTACAGAAAAACGGTCCAAAAAGAAAAGAAGAGTTGTTGATAGTTGGAAAAAAAAAAATAAAACCAAGAAAATGAGAAACTCTGGCGAAGAATATGTTTCTCTAGTCAATAAAAAGACCGTTACAAAGAAAATGCCACCAGCTGATGTAAGTATGGTTTAAAGAGATACCTATCTAAATATACGTTAAAACATAAATAATTTTTTTTTTGTTTAAATCTATCTAAATAATCCAAAATTGTTTTAGGTAAAATGCAAGTGTCCACTAGCATGTAGATCCATAAGACTGGAATACCTTGTTGAGTTGTACAATAATTTCTATGAAATGGCTGACTATAGTAAGCAGCAAAGTTACCTACAAAGGTTTATTCATCCCCAATTAATCAAAAAGAGACGTCATGGTCAGTACGAACATCCCAGTGAAAGTAGGAGAAAGCACTCTTTCACCTACCATTTACTTTTGCCTGGAGGATCTGAAATAAGGGTTTGCCTCAAAACATTTTGTAGTACGTTTGCCGTAACTCCAAGAAGAGTGCAACTTTTGGGAGAAAAAATTCTTGATGGTAAAATGGATATGTCAGAAAAACGAGGAGGGGCTCGACAAAATATTTTCAAGACTGTCTGGACTAACAAGATTATAGAGCATATCAAAAGTTTTCCAAAAATTGAGAGCCACTACGCAAGGGCGAAAACCCCGGATAAGCTCTTCTTGTCACGGATTTAAACGTAAGTAGAATGTACCGTGCATTTTTAGAGAAATATTGTGCGGATTATCAGCCGCCTAACAAACCACCAGTGACTAGACAATGGTATAATGAAATTTTTATATCAAAATTTAACTTATCTTTTGCAAGGCCTAAAGTAGATACATGCTCCACATGTGATAGTTTGGCTGTTCAAATAAAATCAGGAGATAAAGCTGCTGTAACAGAACAGGAGCTTCACCATCGGAGAGCAGAGGCTGCTACAAAAGCAATGTCAACTGAGACCAAAAATGCATGTACAAGTAATTGCTATGTTCTTTCCTTCGATATGCAGCAGCAAATGTACATTCCCCAATTAACTCACTCCGAAATGTACTATTCACAACAGCTTGCAGTGTGTAACTTAGGAATTCACGATTCCATCACAGGAAAGGGATTCATGTGTTTATGAACTGAGGACTTTGGGGGAAGGGGTGCCTTGGAAATTAGCTCCTGTTTATATACTTACCTTACTAAGGAAATTGGCAATCACGGAAAGAAAAAACTTATTTTGTGGTTGGATAATTGTGGGGGTCAAAATAAAAATCGGTTCATGATCGCCATGTATTTGACCATACTAGCAAATAACGTTTTTGAGGAAATTATTCATAAATTTCCTGTAAAAGGACATACTTTCCTTAATTGCGACAGAGATTTCGCAATCATAGAAAAACGTAAAAAAGTGTGTAAGGCTTATACATTGATGAATGTTGTTAACATCATTACTAGTGCGGCCCAGAAAAATCCATTCTCGTGCATGGTGGTTAAGGACTTTTATGATTTCAAAACCGTTGCCTGTGATAAACTAAACACAAAGAAGTTAGGAATTTCAACAGCTACGCAGCTTCGTCTTACAAGAGAGAAATTTGGTACGGTGATGGTGGCTAAAAGACATAGTGAGCTCGCTGGATGGAGTGAGACCGATGTACTCAAATCTGGAGTTACAGTAGAAGCCTTTAAAATCATAGACCTTCAAAAAACTAGAATTCACTTTGGTATCCCAGAGAAAAAAGGAACAGATATTGAAAAAATGCTCCCTTAACTTCACGATGATGCCAAGAAGTATTTTAAAGAAAAATTAGGTCAACCGGGGCAAGTTTCTACTGTAGGAAACAATGGTTAAAAATCTGGCACTTAAAACGTTTTGACTTGCAAACCTGATGGCACTTACAATGTTTTGACCTTAGACAGATTTTTGAATTTTTTTTTAAGTAAGCTTTGTTTGTTGTTCCTTTGCGGTATGTTTGTATTATATAATACCTTTAAACTAATCCTTTTTCAGTATGTTACATTATAAGAAATAAACATGTTCGATAAAAAACTGTTTTTTACTCCTCCTGAAAAATTTATAATTTGGCACTTAGTACGTTATGGAAATGGACAAAACATTTATGGACAAAACAAGAAGTTTTTCTGTGTATTTATTTTACTTAAAAAAATCAGGTTTTATCTCAAATAACCTTATAACTCGTATATACCTCGTATAATAAACAAATCCATTAACAAAAGTAAGACCATATGAAGTATTGTTAAAAAAACTGTTAAAACCTATAAGGAAAATGCTACGTGCAATCTGAACTTAACACCAGAAGAGGTTAACAAATACTTTACGAATATAGCAGATATTAGATCGAAATCAATAGGAAACTCTGGGCATGACATAAACTACTATTTTAGTAGAATACCTAGAAGGTCGCGGTGGTTCTTTGTGGCCCCAATAGTAGCATCTAATGCATACACAAATTAAAGCATTCCTCATAATGTGTTGACTACTATGGTTTTAACAGTAAAATTATTAAGGCATCTCTATTAACATAATATTTAACAAATGTATTATCGAGGGTTACTGGCCTGATGTATTCAGAATATCAAAAGTAATTCCACTTCATAAAAAAGGAAACAAAAATACATATTCCAGACAATTACAGACCTATTACCATAGTACCAATAATAAGTAAAATTTTTGAAATCTTAATTAAAGATCGTGAAGAATTGTAAGGGTTGATACACTTTTATTACAACTTTATAAATTACAGTAATTAAAAAACTGACAATACAAAATAGCAACTGACTTGTTCTGGTTTTGAGAGCGAAGTGAAGTAAAGTCTTCACTTTTCAAAAAGCAGCAATCAGAATTATTGACTCAGCGGAATATCGCGCCAGCTGTAAACCCTTGTTTAAAAAGTATGACATTCTTCCTTTACCTTCAATATATATTTAAAAGTTTTTTAACTGATCATAATAATATACAAGATGTAAAAACACATGCTGATGCAAGAACATAGTTCAAACATGTGTGAACTATGTTCTTCCAACCATTAATTAATAGAGTACCGGCATGTAAGTAATGTTTTGTTTAGTTACAAATTTATTACAATTCAATAGACTATTTTCTAATCTAATTTTCTAATTTCTTCAATAGACTAATATTGGCATAATTATTGTAATTGATATCATTTCTCTTTGTTTATCTTTATAAGACAACACCCTAATTTGGGTTTTACTATTTCAGCATTTAATTAAATTGTATCGACAGACCTGAAGATGCTTTGCATATTGTAGAAAGCGAAACCGGTCGTCTGATAGTTAAATTAATCTGATTGTGAGTAAGTCTTATTTATTATTTCTTGTGCCTATTAGGAATTTGTTTGTTTGAGCTCCTAGTGTGGTCGTTTTTATGAAAACTATTTTACACCCAACTGAATTATTTTTTTGTTATATTTTTATATTTCTATTTTTCACTGTATATGTTGTAATATGTGATCTTGTATTATTTCTTAGTTATTTCCTATGTATACATAAATGACTTATTTATATTGTGACACGACATGTAGTGTTTACCATGAAAAAATTGTCAATAAACGTATCTATCTATCTATTTATAACCAAAACAATTCTCCTGGATAATTTTTCGCGGATTGCTTGATTCTCTTTCTTTAAATATTGCATCTTCTATTATAGATTCTTCACCCAGTTGTGATGAAACATAAAAGATGTTGTTTTACGACTAATAAAAATATATCATTTAAGAAAGAAAATGATATAACATTTTCTAAATACAAAAGGATTCGCTCTGATTTTCATGCAAGAATAGAAAGTTCCTGTATTCTTATCGTGTTGGCAAATGTTCTTGAACTTCCTTGATAAGGATACTTATGAAACTGGCTTCTTTTCACTGCTCGTTACTTGAAGACATTCGTGTAAAAGTATTTACCCAGCCAAGAAGTATTTTATCATTTTAATATAGCTCTAAAACTAACACGAAACTACTAAAACTGTAGGTTAAAACAGTTTGCATATGAATATCAAAATAAGCAGTAGTCGTCCATAAGATATAAAATTTTATTTTGCAGGATTCTATTTTATAGACCTGGGCGGATCTAAAAAAAATCGACTAAATGTGGATGTGAGAGGTGGCATTCGCTTTTTTTGCAGAAATATTAGGTGATTACTTTAGTAATAACAATTGACTTTTTTACCTCTCCAATAGGTCGGAAACATTAATACAAAAATTAAAATATTTAAAAATTACTAAAAATATCGATTTTTTCTACTTTCCTTGCTTATAACTTTAACCTCGTGCCTATAGTAATGTTTTTTTTCTAAATTTAATATTTTCAACTTTTAGACTTGCTTAAGGAAGTTTAAAAAGTATCTGAAAAGATGTTTAAGAAAATCTTAATCCTAAAATTTTGTTTTTATTAATGTCCTACATAAAAAACAGATGTAGGTTGTTGATCTGTTAAATACAAAATAATGTCCTTCTCATAGGACTCTGGTTGCCTATAACTATATAGCATATAGTTTCTTTTTTCGTGTAAAAGCTACTACGAACAACGACACGCCCCCTCAAGCCGAAACCAGTGGAGGGGAGGCGAGTGGGAAATATAAATATTGCTTCTGTCGCCCTGGTGCATATAGTGACAAACTAATACGCACCTTGGTGCGCATCGCCCGCCTTCTCATACTTTATTCATGTTTTCATTGGACGAGAGGTCCGAAAATCTCATTAAAATATTTTAAATTGTCTTTAAATATTGGATTATTCGGATCTCAAGTCAGTCGAAGTCGGCCCTTCACGGGCTCTCCTAGAGCACTTCGCTCTAGGGGCGATGCTCCAGTTTTTTTAGACTCTGAGGCTGAGTCTCTTTTCAATTGCAACCGTTGTGTTTTATTTACCTATTGTCGTTGTACAATAAATAGATTTCGTCCTTTTCAGGACGAAATCGAACAACAGAGCGTACGGAAGTGTTATTTGCAATCATATATCCAGCATACCACTTAGTCCGGTACGACATGGTGCCCCACGTTGGGCGCCATGTCACCATAGGGAGAGTAGGGTCTTCATATGAAATGACTCCATATCAGCTCTCTAGATGCTCCACAGAGGGGCTTCTAGGAGGGCGGGGCGACGCACGTCAGGGTGCGCATTAGTTCGCGACTAAAAGGCACCAGGACGACACTTCCGTAGTATAGCGCAGCGTCAGTTTCTGCTTACAAGCGAAGCATTAACATCTCCAGAATATGCCAACCCCTAGTGTTGGCGAAACGTCGAGAACTAATCTCAGAAGACAACGGCCTAATAGCCCGAACAAATAGTTCAATAAGTTAGACGATGGCCGTGAAAGCCTAACGCAGTTTATAATTCTGATATGTTTTGTAATACAGTTTTTTTAGTTAGTTTATTTATTAAACAATCCAATTTGGGTGAAACTTGAATGATATTTAAAAACTATAATTAATATAATAGAAGGTTATCGAACTTACTTATTATAAAGGACGATATCTGGAAGCCATATGTGTTCCGAAGGAACATGAAGAGTTTCAACACCACCATAATCGTCGGGATTCCATTTCAGTTTGTAGTCGTTCCATTCCTGGAAATTTTCTGAGTTACAATGTTATTTATTACTTAAGATTTCCAAAATTATCGTTTTTACCTGTTCAACCCAAACGTTTGTGGTCATGATTTGATTCTTCAAGTTCTGAAACAAAAACATCGTTTCAGTTTTACGCTTAAAAAACGCTGAATGTAAACTTTCACATTACAAACGATCTAAAACTATTAAAACTGCTCTTTTTTAATTACACTAGTACGTTTTTCAAAAGTCCTTAACTTCTGCTAAAATGCTTCAGCTTCAGTGAAAATGCGCCATCGGGATCTATTTTGCTAAGGCCTTCACCCTATTCCAAGACTTTCCTTGACCTCTTATCTCGTCCATGATGGATCTTCTCAAAGTTTGCCCTGGGCGACCTTTTTTTTTTCTTCCTTGAGGATTCCAATCTAGGATAACCTTTGTAATACTGGAATTATTTTTTCAGAGTGTGTGACCAATACAACCCCACTTTCTGGACTTTATTTATTGTTCTACCCTTTTTTGTTCGGTCAGATGTAGTAGATCTTCGTTTCTGATTTTGTGTGGTTTCCCACACCTCTCGAATTATGGGGAGCAAAAGTTCAGCAGTTAGATGCGAATCAGTTTTAAGTATTTCGGCAGCAATGTCATCGATTCCCGGAGATTTGTTATTTCTCATTTCTCTAGTCTTCTAATAATTTGGTATGGCTCTCTAGTTCTGTTGTGTTGTGCAGCTGTTTTAGCTTGTTTTGCCAGTTCTTCAAGCCACTTTATTTTGTCTCTTCTTGTATTTCTTTAGTTAATTTATTGTTTCATATTCTTGTCGTTAATTAGCTCTTTCTTCTACAGTTCTTGCTTGCAAAATATCTTTCTTTTGCTGTTTTCTTTCCACGATAAGACTCCAAGTTTATGATAAGTAGGCCAATTTGTCGATTTAACCGGTTAATGTGTTTCGTATTTTAATTGCTTAACTGCACTATAGCATAAAGATCTTAAAAGTTAATGTTCCTATCTAAACTAATCGGTGGAGGTTCCTCAATTATTTTAGTTTTTGAAGCACTTTTTGTATTTTTATCTTCTTTTCGTAGTGGTGTTAGGAAGTATTCATTTTCCTCTTTTTTCTATTTTCTAAAATCCACCCTATGTCCTGTGAAAGTTTATCATTGTCTGTATGACATTTAATCGTTTCATTGTCGATGTTGTTTGAAATTTTTTTCTCAAATACGATAGAAATAGATAAAAAATGTACATAAATCATAAATCACTACAGTTGGAAAAAATATTAAAAAGGAAAACATTTACACCTATCAAATTGGTGGTAAAATGGATTAAGGAATTATATAAACTTTTATTAGTCCAGGCTGTGAGGCCGCTCCCGTTGGGAAAATGTTTCTGATTCGATTTCTTCGCGAATACCGGTTCAAAAATGTCCCCTTTAAACAAATCTGAAGGGTGCCGGGCGAAATTTTTGGGCAGAAATTGTGTAAACAATTTTTTTTAAACAAGTTCCAAAAATATTTTTTTTTAATCTGGAAAATATTTTTTTAGATTTTTTGGGTCATTTTAAACAAAAAAGGTATCTTGTCATTTTTCTCTAAAGTTGATAGTTTTTGAGTTATAAGCGATTTAAAGTCTGAAAAACGCGAAAATACGCATTTTTGAGGCTTGAAAACACATATTTAAATTATTATTTTTGAGATTACCAAGTGTCTAAATTGAAGTTTAAACATTCAACTTTAAGATTGTGAAGAGTAATCGGGGCTTATTTTAATTTAGACCGTTGTTTTTTAATTGTTAAATATGCGCGTACACTCGATTTTTCAGCCGCCGCGGCGCGGTGCGCTAGAGTGCGCTTCTATTGTACTTATGCATAGTTTACATATACACTTACGCAAAAAAACCCGAACAAATCCTTGAAGTTTATTAACATAGTTTTTTCCATAATTTATTTATGTAGGTATTAATTATTGTCATTGGGCTAATTAAATAAATCAATCATCGCAATGTAATAACCGTAGTATTTAGTTTTTTTTTTCTTCCAATATTCCTATTTGAACAATATAATTATTATTTATTGAGTATATATTTAGTTATATCAATTGTAAATAATATTTTTAAATTATTATTTAAATAATACAATGCAGTAAATATTAATATTAGTAAACTTAATTTTAAATTGCGCGGTGTTTAAAAACAATATACTATCGCAAAAATGCAAGTTTTTACCTGTTTAACAATCGCGCGCTCATACTTGATTTGTTATTACTTAAACGATCATTAGGAAGACTATTGTTTAATGCCCATTAAAAGGGTATTATATTATTAATGTGTTATTAAAAAAATTGTGAATGGATTTAAAATGTCTTTTTCCATACCTCTTCTTAAATGAAAACTTACCGAAGAAAATTTAGTTTGTATTTTTTGTAATAACATCAACAATATTAAGTTAGTGCAAAAACCTAAAGTAGATTTTTACATAACAATACAAAATGCTGCTCTTCGACGAAAAGACAGTGTGACTGAAAAATTTAATTTAATCTAGCCAATATACCTTGTACCTCTGACGCACTTTACCAACACTTGTTAAGAGCTTTCGCTAAAATATATATGTGGCGAAATACCATATATTCCCGCTATCAAACTCTCGATTTTACACAATATGGATATTGTATGTCTGATAGTGGTGGGTTGGGAAACCGTGCAAATGCAAAAAGACTTGCAAATCTAATGCTTGCAATTGCAGGAAAAATCATGTCAACTGTGTACCATTATGTGGATGTGATTTAGATTTTTGTGAAAACAAAGATACTTTTACTGAGTGATATTAGTGTGTTATTTAACAATCTTTTGTACAATTATTTTATGTAACTATTATTAGACTTTAGACGAAATTTATATTATAACTCAATTGATATAAATAAATATATACTCAATAAATAATATTTATTTGTAAGTATATGTAAACTATGCATAAGTACGATAGAGGCGCACGGTAGCGCGCGGCGCCGCGGCGGCTGAAAAATCGAGTGTACGCGCATACTTAACAATTAAAAAACAACGGTCTAAATTAAAATAAGCCCTGATTACTCTTCACAATCTTGAAGTTTAATGTTCAAACTTTAATTTAGACACTTGGTAACCTCAAAAATAATAATTTACATATGTGTTTTCAAGCCTCAAAAATGCGTATTTTCGCGTTTTTCAGACTTTAAATCGCTTATAACTCGAAAATTATCAACTTTAAAGAAAAATGACAGGAGACTTTTTTTGTTTAAAATGGTCCAAAAAATCTAAAAAAATGTTTTCCAGATTAAAAAAAAATATTTTTGGACTTTGTTTTAAAAAATTATTTTAACAATTTCTGCCCAAAAATTTCGCTTGGCACCCTTCAGATTGGTTTAAAGGGGACATTTTTGAACCGGAATCCGCGAAGAAACCGAATCAGAAACATATTCCCAACGGGAGCGGCCTCACAGCCTGGACTATATATAATTTACATCCTAGATAAACAAATACTGTTAATAGAAAGCTCATTTTACAATAAACTTCAGCATTAATCAAACTGAAAGAATTTTATGAAAACAGAAATGAATTTATCAAATTACTTGGTATTTTATTTATCATAATGAAACTTAAACATCTACATTGAAACTATTAATATAATAAATTTTGTCAGCGTTTCCTTGAAATCATAAAACTCAAAGTAATTAAAATGGAATTAAAATGGAAAATTTAATAGAAGAAAGCAATTTCTGGTCGTCCCTTTTTCGAATATTGTGCCAAAGGGACACGAGAAGGGTTGAAACGCTTTGATGTCAATCAACTAATTATGTCGGCGGAAAACGGAAAATATCTTTTATAATTGTCGAATAAAAGTATGAATGAATCAAGAAAAATGTCTCAGAAGCAATGTAAAGGTTTAATTATATTCGTGGCTTTCAAATTTTAACAAAGAGTCCCAAAAATAAATGATTTAAATATGAAGGTATTTGAATTACACAAAATTAGCTCAAAAGGTGTAATTTTTTCAATACATGTACATATGTATATACATAGCCTAATGAGTCACTTTTTAAAACTTTTCCTGAGAATACTTCACACTAGATTGTTTAAGAAATGTGAAGAGGTCAGTAGATGGAGTCAGTTTGGTTTCAAAAATGGACTTGGCACGAGAGAAGCGATCTTTAGTATGCAAAAATTGATACAGAATTGTTTAGATCAAAGAAAGGATGTTTTTATCTGTTTCATCGATTACGAGAAAGCATTCGATAATGTAAAACACGAATTGATGATAAAATACCTACAAGAGTTGGGATTGGATGCAAAGGATATAAGAATCATCGCCAATCTGTATTGGAATCAGACAGCAACAGTACGTCTTCAAAATTCCAACGAAACAGAAGATTTCTCCATTAAAAAAGGAGTAAGGCAAGGTTGTATACTGTCCCCAATGCTGTTCAATTTATACGTAGAAAAAGCCTTCGCAGAAGCAGTGGAAGACTCTAATAAGGGTATTAAAGTTAACGGCATATTTATTAATAACATCAGGTATGCCGATGATACAGCCATAGTAGCAGATAACATCGAAGATCTTCAATGCCTTTTAAATGATCTAACTCTTGCAAGTGAAGCTCGGGGTTTGAAAATAAATATCAAGAAGACAAAATCAATGATTATAAGTAGAAATGATTACCCCAACGCAAAGATATATGTCTCTGGAGAAGAAATCGAACAAGTCAGGCAATTCAAATACTTGGGATGTTTGCTGAATGAGGGTTGGGACCCCGAGAATGAAATAAAGAGCAGAGTTGAACAAGCCAGAAATGCTTTTTTGAGGCTTCGTAAGTTTCTGACTGATCGCAAATTGGACTTCAACCTCCGATACAAGATGCTTAAGTGTTACGTGTGGCCTGTTCTCCTGTACGGAATGGAAGCATGGACGGACAGGGTCAGAAATGAGGAAGTACTCAGAAGAGTGGGCTTACAGGATAGGGAACTTTTTAATTATGTAAAAAGTAAGAAGACTGCATACTTAGGGCACATTATACGAGGAGAACGATACACTTTTCAGCAACTGATACTCGAAGGGAAGATAGAGGGTAGGAGAGGTCTCGGACGTAAAAAAATGT